ACAAGAATTGGAGACATAAAAGTCAATCCCAGAGCATCATCGATGATAAGTCTCAGAGATAGGAGTTAACCTTGACACGATGTGATGAGAATGGCATTTATTCCTGTGGTTTTCCTTCTCCAAGACCATAAACCCAGTCAGGTCATGAAAAGAGATGAGACAATCCCACATCAAAGGACATTCTGCAAAATATGACCAGCATTCCTCTAAACTGCTAAGGTCATCAAAATAAGGAGAGTCAGGAAACTGTCACAGCACAGACAAGCCTACAGGGGCACCGTGACTAGATGCACTATGATATCCTAGATGCGATGGAACAGAAAAAAGACACTAGATAAAATCAAAGGAAATTATAGACTGAAGTATATAATTAAGTATATAGACTTTAAATAAAGTACAGACTTTAGTTAATAATAATGTATCAATACTGGTTGTGAGGAATGTAAGATATTAATAATAGGGAAATGAGTATGAAATACATGGGATTTCTATACTACCTGTGCAACTTTACTCTAAATTTAAAACTATCCTAGGAGTCAGAAACAATGCATATGCAATGAGAACCAGAGGGACCCAGGAGAGAGAAGGTCAGGCTGAACCAATCCAAGTCCTCACTGGGGCTTTTCTGGAGCTCTTGGCAAAAGCACTCTTTTTATTTGGGATCAAATAATCTTGGGACTGCCAATGGTCAATTTTTATTCTAAAGTAAAAATTTTACACACACACAAAAAAATCAACCCCGGGAGCCATATTAGCATTAGTGAAGTGAAGTATGGAGTTACATTAGCAGCTAGAATCTCTGATATTTGTGAGGGAGTGCAATGGTAGGCAAAGGGTTATCATAGCAGCCAAGTCTGAAACAAGCACAAAAAGGAAACTATAGTCATTTATATTGGCTAACTAAACCTTTAGGCCAAAAATCTTTAATCGCCAGGGAAAGGCAGGTAGGAATGAGGGAAATGTCCTCACATATATTAAAGTATTTTGTGAGAAGATATTCAACATTTAATTTCTGAAGAAAAGGACAGAGAAAAGAGGGTTAGACGGAAGCCAAGGGCCTTGAATACAGAAGAGATAACCTCCTAGATGGCAAGATTGCTTATAAAGCAGGATGTATAATCAAGGCAGTGTTAGCATCTCTAATCCTGGAGACTCTTTCCAGAATCCAAGCCAGAGAGGAGGCCCCCTGAGGAAGCAGTGCAGACGAAATGAGCCCTGAGCCCCTTCCTGCAGTCTATTTTTAACAGCAACACATCCTTAAAACAAAGGGTGAAATACAAAAGAAAGTCATTAGTGTTCAAATTGAATAAATCTAACAATTTTTATGTAGGTCACATTTTCCTGAGGATTTTCTTTACCATCAGTAAAGAAAATCCATCCATCTGAGGCTTTACTTTAGGATTCTTATAAATACCAGGTACTACAATGGACAGATACCACAATGTGCCTTTACTACAAGGTTGAAGTTGTGACCTAAGTGGGAAAACACAAACATATAAACCTAGATCCTGAATGCCCAACTCATTATGATCCTGCTCGGCATCGAAAGCATGTTTGTTACAGCAGATCCTGAACAGAAAGGAATTCTAGAAGAGGGTGTGGGAGACAAAGACTAAGTAGTGGGTGGGCATAGGAGTCAGAAAACAAGGCATGTGCAACAAGAACCAGAGGGATCCAGGTGAGAAGGTCAGGCTGGGTCAATCCAGGTCCTCCCTGAGACTCTGGGCAAAAATGCACCTTTTATTTGGGATTAAGGAATCTTGGGGCTGCTGATGTTCACAGATGTTGCCATTTGACGAGATGGAAAGCAATAAAGAGAAAATAGGAAGTGCTGTAGAAGGGAAGAGAGAGAGAAAGCAGGTATATAAACATGTCTGTGACACAATGCTATCTTGTGAACTTCTGGATCCAGCCATACCTGAAGCCTTCTGCTGTACCAGTTGAATGAATCCATGCATTCTCTTGCCTTCAACTGGTCTGTGACTTTCAATTGAAAGAACTGAAGTAGAACAGGCTTAAGGAAGATTGAGGGGGGCGGGAGGGGAGGTGCGGAGCACCAAGTGAAATGGAGCAGGAGCCATAGACTGAGGCGGGACAAAAGTGAGAGCCTTGCCTTTGGTGCAGTCGGAATCTACATGAGGTGAGAGGACCGTTTTAGGTGTAAAGAAGACAGAGGGACCTTTGGCCAATGACTAAAAGAGATGGAAACATTATCTTAAGAAAAATGGTCACCTTGATCTCCTGGACAAATGGACAGCCACACTCTGCCCCTAAACACAACACTTCAGCATGACACATGTTTCAGGTGTATTACACTATGTGAAGAGACATTCTACTACGAAAAGAATTTTCTGTCCACTTATCCCACTCCATTACATGCATAGTTTCTTAATGATAATAAAGCCCAACATTTACCATAGTAAATAGTTAACAGGATGTGGAAGGAAAATTGAACCTGTAAACTTCTTGCCTTGATTTCTTCCCATGCTGAGCACCTATGGGTGCTATACAAAAGCTAGCATTTTATTCCTGCTACTTAGTTTCCAGACGTGGAACAACTCTTGTGGAGATAATCAGGTTTGCTTTTCAAAATAATAATAAAGAGCTGTTCCTTATTTCCTTTCTGGAGTCACACTGACATGGAGCAATCAGAGCAACCCATTATCTGAGAATTCCCTGCTTTGTTCAATTTACAGACCTCAATGGACACCTCTCCTGGGAATTCAAAGAAGAGCCTCGTGTGGGCGAGCTAAGCTTGCTGGTGGCAGGAAAAAAAAAAAAAACCAAAAAAAAAAAAACCCCCCAAAAAAACATTTGCTCACTGCTTTGTTTTAACAAATACAACATAAGTAGTGATTATAGTTCATTGAGGTTTTGTACCAATCCTCAAAACGCTGACAGTTACTTAAGTCACTCACTGGGTGGAATGATCACCCTGAAACAGAGAGGGTACCATTTATATTATAAAATGGAGTGAGCACATGAGACAAAGCATCAGCAGGTGTGGTAGAAGAGATGTTTGTCAGAATAAGAGATGATTACATTTATGAATTAGACAGCAACTGTACTGAGTACTTGTGGTGACATGAATAACAGCACAACTGTGCCATTACAGAGGTGAGCATAATTCCCGGGGCTTCTCTCTCTTTCCAAAACAGTCGATGCAGGTTGGCCTGAGTACATCACTCAAAGACTTGCTATAGAGATTGGAACTATCCTGCCTTGTGGAGCCCCTTTAGAATGGACAGGACAGAAATCTAGCATGCCATGCCACGGGAAATAAGATATTGCACTATTAAATATTAGAGGCCCGGTGCACCAATTTGTACACGGATTGAGCTGGATGGGGGGAGGTGGGGAGAGACACAGGTGGTTGGTGGGCTGGCCTTGCCCCCTGGTCAAACTTCCAGTAGAAGGAACAATTTGCATATTAGCCCTTTATTATATAGGATTAGACACTGAAAGGCCACCAATGATCACCAAATCACCTACCCATGAAGTCCAGTATTTGCAAGAAGCAAAAGAAATCAGGAAAACAGGCACTTGGTCCCTTTTCACAGCTGTTTATTTTGCAATTAGCAAAAGGGAAATAAGCTATATCTGATTTTTAAAATTTTATTTTGGCACTGGGAAATAAAATGGATATTTAGGCTACTGCTTGTGACAGACTGCCTAATTCAAAAAGATTATAAAGTTGAGGGTCTTTCAAGGAGACCTCCTTATCTGAGTCTGCTCAGATCCAATACTGTCCCAAATTATCCTTAATAGATGGATATTTATTTTTTTACTTTTATAGATTCTGGGAACAAATATGTATAATTTTTATCAGCAGGTAAGAAGTAATATTTTAAATAATAAAATGTATAAATAAGAAGTCATATTTTAAGACGGCTTCTAAAAGAGTCTATAATCTCACTCAGAGCCTCTCTTCTGCTGGCCTTCAGGAGAGATGCTCAGTCAGCACAAGATCCGAGGCAATGTGTGTTCCAGGGCCCAGACTCTGCCCCTGGGGCCTGGATTTTGAATAATTTACCCTGTGAAATTCATCTGCACCTCTTTGTCTCTATGCTGGAAACGCTTGTTAATCAAGTAATAATAACTTTTCAAAAAACAACTATAATAATCCACTTCCCCGGAAGTTCACATTCCAAATGATGTTAGCGTTTTCTTCGCAAAACCTTCGAATGGTTAACTCTGATACTAAGTTCAGGGCAGATTTGGTTTCTTTCATGTTCTTGCTGTTACTTTCCTTTTTTCTACCCTGTTTGCGTCTCTCTGTTTATGCATTCAGATCTGCCATCTCCTGTATTCCTTCTTCATGTTTGCTTTGCCTCTATTATAACTGCCTACCACATACTTCTGAACGAATGCCTTTAAGATGTATTTATTTTGTAGTTATTAAATAATGTCTATGGGCACTAAAATTTTTAAATTATTTTTCTCTGAGTCATTGGATCTTAATAAAAAAAAGTTTCACATTTTAATTTCATATTCCATTCCTTAATTTTCTTGAAATCTATAATTAAGTTATCTCTCAACCATCTCTTTTCCAGAATAATTGTTTTTCTCCTATTCTCTATTTTCTAACACCTTAATCATGTCTAATATTCTCTTTTTAGACACTTTTTCATTAACTTGTATCAGTTAAAATAAAAAACATCAGCTGTGTGCTCAGCTCTGAGTTTTGAAATAAGTTCCTTTCCTTGGGAAGCTGTGAGGGGGATTGGCTTTTGTTCTTGAGACAATCTGGCTCAGTCTCCCACGATTTTGTGTCTGAGATTTAATATCAAGCAATGTTAACAGGGACCATTTTTGGCTTCCCACATCCCACACAGGGAAGTGAGATTACTTCCTTTCGCAGAACTACTAGGTACCATAGGCTCAGCTCAGCTGGATTCTGGCACAGGTCTTCTGACAACCTGGACACGGCCCACAGGGTGACACATTCCCAATGAGAGTACGCAGCCCAATTCCTCAGCCGCCCTCCACCAGTCACTTACTCTGGGATGTGGAAAGATTGGAGAAGGCTGACTTTGTTCGGCCTGCTAACCATTCCAGGCTCTCGTGCATGTTGGCCAAGGCTTTGAGGTCACTCACGTCACGCAGGATGTCTTGTGGAGGGATTAATTTATCACCCAGGTTCCCAATAAGAACTTCCGACTCCTTGCCAAAGGCTGCCCTGCAAAGCAAACCAGAAACACTTCACATACAGCACAGAAAAGACTGGGGTGGGCAATACTTTTTAAGACATGCCTAGCACGAGGCTGTTATAATCGCTGTTATTACAGCAGGCTAGTTTTTCTAGGTTTACTTTTAGGAGGATACTATCATATACCGGCTTAAAATTACTTTGATATGAGAAAGAGAGCTCTCGGAAGAGGCAAGTGGCCTGATGCTTGTACCTTCAGCAGCAACCGATGTCGGCCTGACCTACACAGGGATGGTCCTAGGGATGCTCGGATGCCTGTTCTTCAGGATCTCCCTTACCTCTTCTCCCGCTGCGCAAACTGATGAACAGCTAGCTGATGGTGCTACATATATACATTGCCTGATGGTCTTTGAAGTAAATAAAACCACTAAGTTAGCCTGGCAGCTAGAAAACATTCTGAAATGTTCAAAAGCAAAGGGCCCAGCCTCTTTGAGGAGCAGATTATTGTTGAGAAGGATGGTAGGCCTCATTCATTCATACATTCATTCACTCATTCACTTACTCTAAAAAGGCTCTGGGCACATAAACGAGGAAGCATTTAGGTATTCATCATTTGGAAAGAAAACCCAGTAAAAATCAATGCCCTTTACTGACTGAAAAAAACACACACAGTCAGGTGGATTTCACACAGAGCCCAGGGTCTTCATAATGTTTTTAGAGGGTTGAAAGATCATGCTACATGGGTCGCAGAAGGATGAGCTGAAAGGGCCCTCAGAGACCACATGGACAGCCACCACACAGAGGAAGAAAGGAAGGCTCCGAAGGTTAACCACTTTGTCTACAGGACACACAGTGGCAGAGCTGGGACCCATACTATCCAATTCCCACAGCTCTCTTTCTTTCAAAAAGAGAGGACAGAAATGATAAAAGACAATCGAGGCTGTTAGGGAATAAAAGCCCGTCTTTTCAGGGAGGTACCTACAGGTGGGCACCCAGGCTCCTAGTGGAAGCTGGGACAGGCACCTGGAGTTTCCCACGGGACCCTCTCCATAGCTTTAAAAACTCAAGACATCTTACGTGAGCAGAAACTCCACTATATTTACGTAGAACAAACTACATTAAGTTTCAACTGAACAGTGGTTAATAAGAGCTGACACATGTATTCAGAGCGATGCTTAACCGACACACAGGCATTTGGTGCCCAGCACCATAGCAGACATCCATGTTGGAAGAAAGAGCTGCTATGGATCAAATGCCCATGAAAAATATGTGTGTTACAGTGGTAACTCATGACTGGGCTTATTTCAACAGGAGGAAAAGTCAGAATTGACCGAGTTGGGTGAGTCATGGTGACTGGGGCAATGCAGTGGTGTGACAGCACAGAAACACGAGTGGATGTGGGGTCTTGTGCCAGATCCTGGGGTGGACCCGAAAGTCTGCATTTCAAAAGAGTTTCAGGCTACTGGACTGGAGGCATGCTTCCTGAGTAGTAAGGGTTGGAGCACAGACTTCTAAGTTAGGCAGACGGGGCCTGAATCCTGCATGTGCCTCTTCCTTGCTATATTATTGGCTAGAGTGAGGGCACTGCTTCCTAAGAAGCATTTTAAGAAGTAGATGAGGTGACATTTAAAATCTTATTTGGAAAATTTCAATAATTATAGAACTAGAGAGAATAGTGTAGTAAACTCCCATGCAAACAATGTTCAGCTTCAACTATTAGCAACTCCCAGTGAGTCTCTTTCATCTATCCTTATCCAGAATTAAAAAAAAAAAATTTATTTATTGATTGATTTTTAGAGAGAGAGGGGAAGAGGGAAGGGGAGGAGGAAGGGAAGAGGGAAAGAAGGCAAAGGAGAGAGATTTGTTGTTCCACTTATTTATACATTTATTGGTTGCTTCTTGTATGTGCCCTGAGTGGAGATTGAACCTGTAACCTTAAGCATTTTGGGACAACACTCTAACCACCTGAGCCACCCCAGCTAGGAGAGTTCTTATCCACAATTTTGAAGCAAATCATTCCACTGATATTCTTTGGGGCCTAACACAATGCATGGAAAGCTAACAAATTGCAGCTATTATTATCCTTAGGTCTGTTGAAGTGTTTGATTTACTTAGTGTCAACCTGGGGTCTGCTGTGATGAATAAATTAAAATAGAAAAGAGAGATCAGAAGTAAATAAGTTGGATCTCAAGGGCTAGTGTTACAAATGGAACCTTGCGACATCAGAGCAAATGCCACTGTGCTTCAGAGTCCAGACTTTCCTCAAAATATTCAGGCAGTAAATCATTGCGGCAGAACCCACTGGTTGGATATGCAGTTTCCATTATCCCATGCCTTCTTAGTAAAAGGGCCCTGGCATTGGGGTTGGCATGTACCCAATATAAAAACAAAATAAAAAAACACACAAGACACAACCCCATCCAATTTCCCAGCCCCTCCTGCTGATGTGATGGTCAATGAAATAACAACTGAAGTCAGATTTCCAAGAAACATCTCTCAAATATCTTAGTTGGCAAAGACCTCTTTTGTGCCTTCCTCCGTCCCTTACTGGACGCAGCCCTGGCATCAGGTGACCTTGAACATGAAAATAATGCTGAGAACAATGGCGCCAAAGACAGGAGGGTTTGGGGGAACCAATGACATCATGGAGCTGCAATGCAGCCCCGGATAATACACTTCTAGGCTTCATTTTATAGGAGAGAAAGTGAAACTGAATTTCTTGAAGCCATTGCTATTCCAAGTTTCTGCTGCTAGCTGCTAAATGTAATTTCCACTGACACCATTATCTAATTAGCATAAGTGATATCATTCTTGGAAAACTTTCTCTAAATTAGATATCTCTGCAATCGAGTTACTGTGAAAGCAAGACAATGTGTCTTCCATGATCTGAGCCCAGCAGATAGTACAATATCTGCCCCTTGGCTGTCACTCAGTCGAGTTGTAAATATGTAGTTTGCCTAATCTGTCCTGATATAGCCACTCTCCCAGCCCCTTAATCATCTTTGATAGATATAACAAAAAGTGCCTCTGAGCTAGGTGGTTAAAAGCAACAGGGGAGGCAAACAGCTTTGAAAACCAGGCTTGGAGCCATTTCCATGCGTGGAGGTGTAACCCTGGGTGCAATGTGACAATCAAGACTGATGTATTTCTGTGGAAGCTAATCTGCTGTGTGGGATCGGAGGCCTGCGCATGTCTGCGGTCTGCTTCCGAGGCCAGCTGCCTAGTCCACTCCCCTCAGGCTTGCTGAGATGGGCTTAACCTGCTCCGAAGGGAGCCCGTGGACCAAGAGAAACACATGCTGCCTCGAGTTGAATACATCACAGACATCTCATTTGACAGGAATCCATAATCACCCCCTAACAACCTGGAGAGGGCCCCGCAACCATGACATCCAGAATAAATGATTGACAGCTAGAACCATTTCACACACAAAGTCATTCCTTCAAGGATTTGTGTGTCAAAGAGCTTGGTGGACGGTCTTTGTGTGTTATAAAAACCTTCAGGGGATGGCTTTAGCTGCAAGACCATTGACTTTTTTCTAAACCCTCGACTTTATTGAGTAAATTATGATATAGTCACACTATGGAAAAGTGTGCAGTCATCAGAAATTATATAGCAGAAAATACTTGATACCATAGAAAAATGTTGCATATAGTTTATTTTAAACCATGATATGCAGTTGAGTAAAACAAGCTGTTATAAAACTGAATGCATCACATACTATTCAAAAAAGAGTAACTATACATTTATATGAACTGAAAAAAGATCAATATGTTAACTATGTGACCAGATTATTTTCCTTTGTGCTTCCCCGGATTTTCTACATTTTCTCCGAAGGACATGTTTACTTTGTAATTAAAAACAAAAATTACAAACCCTACCACGAATGAGAAAACCTTTCAGATGGACACATGAAGAATTTCAGCAGGAGAAATGAGAGGGGTGGGGGTTACAGTCACTTAAATGGAACGGAGAGGGATGGGTGTGGTCTGAGGGCTAGCTCTGGATGAGGTCAGTGTCCACAGAGGGTCACACTGCCAGTCTGACCATACCCAGCATCTGGGCTAATGCGGTTTCTTTCTAGATCTTAATTTCATTTATTCTTTATCACTTGCTTACTATGAAAGGGCAGTACTTAATGGAGATGTTACATGTTTTTGAGTGAAATGGGTAACAGAAGGATCATTTTCATCATAAGTGAAGTGACAGGTGCTCCGTAATTGCCCAATGATTACCTGACATGGCCAAGAGAAATGTGATTGCTATGGGTACCCCGAGTCCCAAGTGAGGAATCACTGTCACCATCATAGGCCAACATGCTCACGTAGGAGCCCAAGAAATGAAGAAGGGTGTTAAACCTGTTAGGCTTAATTTCCCCACACAATTATTATCTTTAAAGAGCTTGATCTGACAAGACTTCATTTAAGAGAGTTTTGCGAGATCATAAAATCTGTGTAACTTAATTTTACCACACAATCATAATCTTTAAAGAGGTCTATCTGACAAGAATTCATTTCAGAGAATCACGCCAAAGATGTTGAAAACTGTCTCCATTTAGTCTTTAAATAATTCTGTTATCAACTGAAATCTTAGGAAGGAAAAAAAAAAAGAAAATCTGCATTTCAGCAGGCTAAATGCACTTATGAGAGAAACATTGCAAATAGTTTCTGAGCGACTGATGTGCAGATCTGTGCTATATTTGGTCACATAATATACACACTCAAAACTCAGTGCTCTCTCTCCCTGCCATATTCACCAGTCATCCAAGTCTGCTTCCTACTGCTGAACCCACCTAGAGAGCAGGAAACACTGACAGAAGGTCAGCCCCCCTATGACCCAGACAAAGGAGGGGAAGGCGAGGAATAAAGCCAGCCATGCTAATGGCTGCGAGGTGGCATTTCCTCCATGTTTTCATGAGGAGGAGGTGAGTATTATAGTCACTTGAACTGAACTGGGAGCAATGGGTGCGGCATTTCCCCTACGATTTCATATGAGGAGCATTTTATATGAACTTTCCCATGTAGTTCAAA